AATACGTGCATTGTGTGTGTGTATTTTTATATATATATATATATATATATATATATATATATATATATATATACACATACATATATTCTCTTCTATTTTTCTCTTCTTTTGATTTTAGGGTAAAATGTGGACATTTATTTGTGAGAAATAGCCTGTTATATCCAGAGAGACTGGAAAAGTGCTCTGTTTTAACATTTTTCTATTTATCGTGATAAAATTGCTATTTCCCCTGAGTGATCCAGTCACATCACTACAGAAGAAAATTTTCTGAGCATAAGGTTCGAAAAATGAGGTTTAGTACTTTTAGTACAATGCATGATATTAAAAATAATTTAACCAGTCAAAAAAACATCAATTAATATGTTACCGTGTAAAGTACCAGATTCTACCACTATCACTCGTCATACATTAGAGTGAGTGAACTCAGAGTGAATTCTCTGATGTCTCTTCAAGTTGCATTTCTGGGTAAACCTTTTCCCGCAGTCTGTGCAGATGTAAGGTCTCTCGCCGGTGTGAACCCTGCGGTGTGCTTTCAGGTTACTCAGTTTGGTGAAACTCCGTCCACAGATGGTACAGCAGAACTGCCTCTCACCTGTGTGAATCTGCTGGTGAGCTCTGAGGTGGCACAGATGAGAGAAGCCTTTTCCACACTGGCTGCAATTGTGCATTGTCTTTGTCGAATGGTGCCGTGTGTCCCCTTGAACCCTCATGCTGACCATCTGCGGCAGACTTCTTCCTGGGTGTACGGTACTGAAACTTCTTTCACCTGTAGTGGCTCCTTCAGGATACTGACGGACATGAGAGGGTTTTGGAGCAGGAAGGGCTTTACAGATGGATTGTACCCGGCCTAGTTCAACAGTGCCGTGATCCGTCACAACCGAATTGGGATGTAGACCGATTTTTGTGTTTTTCCTAACGGGTGATCTGAGATGCTGCATGGTTTGTGGTGCAAGGTTCTGAACCTTGACGGGAGGCGCAGGATAGGAAACTCGCTCCTGTATTTGAGGCCTAGTGGTGAGAGGATCTCCAGGCTGAAGATCTAACTGTGTTTTCTTAGCACTGGTTTGAGCAGAAACCACCTGAGGCCTGATCCTTTCCATATCTTCCCAGTCTGGTGGAAGCATCACTACAACTTCCTGTTTAACAGGCCCCGAGTCTATGCTGCCCACTTGCGGTCTCAAACCCGGAGACTCTGAAGATACTGAGGTCCTGGCTGGTTCTGGCTGTGAAACAGGTGACCATGCTAAAGGGTCTGTTTTAGGGTCAAACCATTTTGGGAGGTTTCTGTGTCTGACCTCATCCACAGGTCTTTCAGTGCAAGATCTGCCACCTGGTTTGTGGTCAGAATCTGTATTGCGGAGTCCATTGGTCTCTTCAACACTGCCCGGAGGATCTTTTTGTTTGTGTATTTGAGGATGTATCACTAGACGAGCTTGCGGGTCTCTAGCCTCTGTTGCTTCCTCTTTCACTTCTCCTCCAGGTTTAGGTTCACACACTTGATCAACCTGTCATGCACAAAACACGTGTGCATTAGAAACTTCCTACGTACTACAGCTAAAATTATACTAACATAGTTATAACATAACATCTCAGCAAACTACAATGGCCTAGTACATGACTAAAGTATTTAGACATCTAAGCTAAGTTTAAAATGTCTGAATTTTATTGCATAAATGTATCAAAATGAACTGTAATTTTGTATGATATCAGTTCCCCTAAAGTTCACTAATACCCTTTGGCTCCCAAAAAATATCCAAATGCTTATTGTCTTCTGGGTCACTGGATATTACCAGTAAAACAATACCATACACACATTTTGTTTAGTTTCTGGAGCTGCTGAAGGCTTTTCATGATTTGCGCTTCCCTTGGGACTGCACCTCCAGCTAATGTCAGAGGCATTTTCCTGCTTTACAACAAGTGGGTGGTCCAAACCTTTGAAGAAGAAGAAGAAGAAGAAGAAGAAGAATAGCATTCAATGCCCAATAAATTGTTGGACTTAACCAATGCTACTAATTTTACTGAATATAATAATTTCATGATGTAATGTGAAACACGAGTCAATGATGTCGAGACACTCCAAATTGAGATCTGAATATATGAAAATTATTCAAATATATATTAAAAATACAATTAACACAAAAACATGGCTAGACTACACCTGTTCTATGATTTGGTTTCAGTATTTTTCCTCATAAATATAGGAAATAGGCCTATAATACCTTGAAAAAATTATAGAAAATTATGACAAGGAAATTATTTTTAATTGCCATTTGTAGGTTTCTTAAAACCCTGCTTTAGATCAGGCTCAGCAAACTTCCGAGGGGGCCGCAAGATTACTTAAAAGTATTTGCATTCATAAATGATTAATATATTGAAATAATATATAGCTCTATAAAATCATTATGTAAACTGAAATCATATGTTCCCCTTAATTACTGTAATGGGGGCCTTAATGTTAAAAACGTCCACTGCTTTAGATCCTCGTGAAGTTCATTAAGTTCTTATAAAATATGACAAATATAATACACTGAATGTTCAGAAACTTTTGCTGCAAATGATGACAGGGAAGTGACTGTACTTTTGTTGGTTCATTCCATTATTATTGAAAATGGCATAACCGTTTTGTATAAACGTACGAAACTATAGCCAACATACTGCACGTTGTTATTTGTCCCTGACTAGCGGCGACGGTCTTGGAAAGTCTTGTTTCTACTCACTGCTCTGTGCTTCGGGGCCTCGGTGTAGTATCCTCCTCCTGGACACCGCTGTCCGACCACAGTCCACACACCTCACCCTCTTAAACCTCTCCCGTTCTCTCAGCTTGGCCTCCGACACTATCAGCCTCCGTTTGAACACCTCCGCCTCTCGCTTGCCTCGATCCATCTGCTCCAGGAAGCTCTCCTCCACTAGCCGGGTCACCTCGTACATGGTGGTCTTGAGGACAGTTTCCATGACCGCAGACAGCCGAGTCTGGAAGGAGAGGACCAGCGTGTCCGTCATGCTGTGTCCGATCTACTCGAGCTCGCTCTTTTAATCAAGATAAACGGATTGCTGTATGATCATGACATTTAATGACCACCCATGTTGATTTCTACCTCAAATATTTTATTTTCTATTGAGTACTCATTTCACGCACGAGTATTCTGGGAACTTAATTTCACGGTAAATGTTGCACTTCACACTTTCACGGCCAAGTCAATCAAACCCCGATGATAAAGTCCTCAGTGTTAGTTAGCATCGAGCTCATTACATCTGCCTGACAGTACGAAGCGCGAGCAGAAATAGATGTCCTTTAGGCGCGAGCAGCTGTCGCATAGTGTCCAAATGACTGTAGTACATGCTACCTAGTGTATTTTGTGAATGTGTGAATTTGACTAATGAACGAAGAGCTCAGCAGACGGACAATGATGTTGTTGTGGGTGACGTCACGGGTTGTACGGCGGCCTTGTTGGACAGAACGGGTTTTACCACTGATCTACAATAGAGACTATAGTCGTATATAGATCAGTGGTTTTTACCCGCGTTGTTATAGAATAAACTAATATAATTTTCTAAACAAAAACCACATTATTTTTACTTAAATTACTATTTTTCAGAATTTAGAAGACAGCAACCCAGCAAGTGCTAAACTAAAATGATAAAAACATTGCGTTACTTAAACGTTAACTGAAAAACATGAACTATTAAAAAAAGTCAACGTAGGCACACATTATTGTTTAACTTTATATACTAAAACAACTAAAACTGAAATAAATATGGTTAAAAACTAGACATTAAAAATAGCCTAAAAACTGACAAAAACAACTAAATTACTAAAACCTCAAATTAAAACGAAAAAATATAAAAACTCATTCACAAATATGATTAAAAACTGTAATAGATTCTCTGATATTAAAATTGACACTGTTATAATCACAGTCAGTGGTGATGTATTTGTGAAAGGTATTAAAATTGTACAGTAGTATTAAAGGGTTAGTTCACCCAAAAACGAAAATTGGCCCATGCTTTACTCACCCTCAAGGCATCTTGGTGTATATGACTTTCTTCTTTCAGACAAATCCAATCGGAGTTATATTAAAAATGGTCCTGGCTCTTCCAAGCTTTATAATGGCAGTGGGTGGGTGTTTTTTTTTTGGGCAGCCCAAAAGAAGCCCAATAAAGCGCATCCATCCATAATAAAACGTGCCTTACATGGATCCAGGGGGTGAATACAGGCCTCCTATAGTAAATCGATGCGTTTTTGTATGAAAAATAACCATATTTAAAATGTTATAAACACTTTTCTCTAACTTCCGTAAACTGCCTTTTTTTTTGGTAAACTGTCTTGCATGCAAGCCATTCCGGTGGATGACGTAGGAGTCCTACGGTAGGACATGATTAGTGGCAAACACGGAAGCGTGACGGAGAGAGAACAAAACAAATAGCCAGTCAAGAATTAGAAGCACAAAACGAGGATTTGTAAAGAAAAATGTTAAGAGGATTTCGATATATGCCAAGAGGAGACTGGTTTTCCTTTGGTAAAGTAAGGAAACTTTGCTTTCTTTGCTCCTGTTAACAAACTCAAAAGACTAGCATATTCTCACAAGCTCTAAGCAAACGTCCTACGTCATCCACCGGAACGGCTTGCACGTATGAGTTAGCGAAGTTATAGAAAAGTGTTTATAACGTTTTTAATATGGATATTTTCCTTACAAAAAATGCATTGATTCACTACAGGATGCCCTTATTCATTAATTTAGCATTACTCAAGTGTTTTATAACACAGGACTGTTAAATGCTTGATTCTGATTGGTTGACAGACATTCTAAGGGGTTTAATTATTTTCAGTAAACGCACAGCTATGACGTTGCTAGTTCCAAGTCTGTCAACTGTGTTATAATTTCTCTACACATCGTGACCACATTAGCACCTTGTATGTGCATTACTTTTTTTTTCTTTTTCATTTTTCTATAATTCAGTTTCCAGTTGTGAATTATGCCTTACATGACTTCTGATAATCCAATAATGAAAATAAACAATAAGGATTGGGAATAAACAACTGGAGGATTTAATCAACCAACAACCAGATTAATTTTTAAAATGACAGTTGAACATGTATCGCTGGAGAACTGAAAATAGACTGATATTGCATGATATATTTGAGCAAATATATTTGGTAGGTTTATTAAAATAAACCAAAATAAATCATTTTTTTCTAAATGAGTGTGATAGACAATAAGGCTCTAAAGGGAATAAAAGTGACAATCTCTGACCATTCTACATCACAAGTAAACAATGTTCAAACTTTTAAGTGATGCAAAGTTGGCCACATTATCCATAGCATAACTTATAGGCATAGTTCACCCAAAAATGAATATTCGGTCATTTACTCTTGAACCTGTTTTACTTCATTTCTTCTGCTAAACACAAAAGAAGACATTCTGAAGAATGTTGGAAACCAAACAGATTATATAGACCAAAAAAACAGACAAATTTCTGAAAAAAAAATCTTCCTTTATGTTCCACAGAAGACTGACATACAGGACTTAAACTACCTAAGGGAAAGTAAATAATGAATATTCATTTTTGGATGAACCATCTCTTTCAGAAAAACAAAATTTAAATTATACAGAAGACAACTATAATGGGAGCTTCTAGAGCAACAATGTTACGATTTATTATGGAAAACACCTGGATTTATGGCCCTCCAACAATTTGTGATTTATGACCTTCTAGCAGTTTAAGTCAAAAAACTCTGAAAGGTTGTTTGGTGAATTTTTTTTCTTATGGATTGTCCTGGTCAGCACTATGTTTGCGCTGATGTGACCTGAGATGATCCAGTCGTTTGAAGCTCAGTCCACAGATACCGCAGCAGTACGGTCTTTCTCCTGTATGGGTACGTTGATGGACTTTCAAGATGTCGGCCCGGGTAAAGCTCTTACTGCACATAGTGCACTTGTGTGGTTTCTCCTGTGTGTGAATACGCTGATGCAGCTTGAGATTCCACAGTCGGCAGAATTTGTTCCCACACAGCATACAGGTATAGGGCTTGTCTACAGTCTGACTGCATCGGTGCCTTCGCAGGTCACTGAAGGATGAGTATCCTTTCCCACAGTGGCTGCACAAGTGGAGACCGTCCCGCTGGTGGACACGCTGGTGCACTTTAAGGTTGCAGGCCTGAGTGAACTTCTTACCGCACTGGTTACATGTGTAAGCAGCACTTGACCCGACTCGGTGGGGAACTGGGAAGGCTTTTGCAGAAGTCCTGCTGTCTCCTAATGCTTGTCCAACATTAGGTTTCAGAGAGTGATTCAATGCATGTCCCTTATAAACTGCACCACTAGCTGTGTCCCCAACATACAGTGAGCGTCCTCGATGTCCAGTACCTCCTGCAACCCCACTTATGTTTTGCAAGTGGCCATCTGCATTAATAAGTAAACAGTGCATGTCTCCATCCACATCTTCCGTCTCTGGGCTGACGTGCACAGGTAAAGATTCTCTGTTTCCTCTCTTACTCTTAATGGAAGAGCTGTGATGTCTCCCACCTTCTTGGTCCAGGTCGTTTTGATCAAGCCCAACTGCAACCGATACTGAATTACCCAACATGTCTTCAGTTCTTTTTCCGAGACTGTCCAGGTTTCCCATGTCCAGTTCATGCTGCACACTGTAGCTTGCTAGCTCTTCTGTGTCATAAAGTGTTCGGTACGTCAGGCCCTGGACGTCTGCAATATCTGCATAAGCTTCATTGTCAGCAGTCTGATCAAGCCCAGAGCTCCACTCTTCCTGAATCTGCTGCAGCTCCTGCTCACTGTAACTGTGAGCTGAGAAATCTGACATCTCAGCTCCTGGAAAACAAAACAAGGAGAAAAATCTTCAAACACAGTCTAATGTGAGAGGGTTAAAGCAGTAATCAGATGTTAAAAATAAAAAAAATAAAAAAAATCACACCTTCAGTATCCAACGTCCACCCATCCTGAAGCTCTTTATTGACATAAAGGGTCTCCTCTTTTAATACACAGTTCAGTTTCCTGACCTCTGTGCTTGCAGACTACAGAGAGCACAATGTAACAGAACGCACACAGAATGTTAAAATATTCTGTATTGTGATGAAACAGATTATCAAAAAAGGAAAAATGTAGGACGGGGACTTGGTTCTATATCGGTTGTTCATTGGATGGAGCGTCCAGTTGATTTTAAGAAAGGGGCAGAGTTTAAGCAGGTTAAATGATTAGAGAAGTCATGCATACGTCATCAGAAAGAAGACCGAGTTAAAAAAATTAAACATACTGCACGCACAAATGAACTGTTCACATTAAGATCAATAACAAGCATTTAGAAAATAATGCCTTATCTTAACAGCATTATTTTTCAGGTTTCAGACACAGCTTTTGAGAAACGCTGCAGTACGAACAAGGTTTGAGGTGATGGAAAAGGTGGTTTATTCAATAGGCTACTCACCTCTGCTGTATTACTGGTGCTGGTTTGGTCTTCTAATCTCTCTTTTCCCAAAAGTGTGTCAGACTCCAACTCACAGCTTCCCCAGTTCCCATCCGGAACTTTCTCCTGTTTGAGGCTGCGTTCCTTTTCTACATGTGGTCAAGGGTGAATGCAACTGTGAGGGTATTGATTACACAGTCCTTTAATGGTCTTTAAAGGGATGGAAGGAAAAAGTCATATCTGGAATGACATGGGGGGTCTTTATTCCTTGTTTATGTTATGTTGCAGGTTTGGATTTTTTCGTTGTCAGAAATATTGGTTAACCTATGATTTTTTTTTTTTGGACATTTTGTGACTTTTCCTCATTTAGGGTCACAAACATGCCTGCTTTGAAAGTGTTGATGTGTTGTGGAATGTGCTTGCAAAATGCTACTACAATCATGATGTTTGTGGGTCAATTAAAAGCAGCAGCACAGACCTGAAATGCCAAATGTTTTTATGTATTTTGTTATGGCAGTTTCTCAGCCAGCCTCAGGGTATTTAACATGAATATTTGTGCTTTGTCATTACGCATTTATCTGATATTTTTATCATTTCTTACATGTTTGTTCAGTTCAATGGGAATCTCATGATTGTTACTAGCACCATGCTGAACATGCTCTACTGGTTTAAAAAGTTAAAATGTAAAAAATAAATAAATAAAATAATTTAGAGTACCGTTTAATAATACCGTTTATAAGACCAGCTGACCTTCAAAGACCACATTGCAAAGACTGCCCGATCTTGCAGGTTTGCATTGGAAATGCATCAGAAAGATCAGGCCTTTTCTAACGGAGCATGCTGCACAACTTCTTGTCCAGGCCCTTGTCATCTCTAGGCTGGACTACTGCAATGCTCTTCTGGCTGGACTTCCATCAAGCACAATCAAACCTCTACAAATGATTCAGAATGCAGCGGCACGACTGGTCTTCAACGAGCCCAAAAGAGCCCATGTTACACCTCTCTTTATCTCCTTGCACTGGTTACCGGTTGCGGCTCGCATCAAGTTCAAGACATTGATGCTTGCATATAGAACAGCCACAGGCTCAGCACCCGCCTACTTCCACTCACTACTACGAATTTACATCCCCTTCAGAAGTCTGAGATCCGCTAGTGAGCGACGCCTCGTGGTACCATCACAGAGAGGCTCAAAATCACTTTCCAGAACATTCTCGTTCACCACTCCTGGCTGGTGGAACGATCTTCCCACCCCTATCCAGAATGTTGAATCCTTGACAAATTTCAAGCGACAGCTGAAAACTCATCTCTTTAAACGCTACTTGACTTCATCTCAAAAAAAAAATATATTTTTATTTATTCCTTCCCTTTTCTAGCTTGTACTTATTTGAACAATGCCTAAAACGTGGTATTTCAAGCACTTCCTGTGTCTGTTTGCCTCTTTAAGAAGAATCGCTTTATGTATCCCCCAATTGTACGTCACTTTGGAGAAAAGTGTCTGAAAAATGACTAAATGTAAGTGTAATATTCATAATTTGTGAACAACTGTATAATGTTGGTAAATACAGATTAAAAACAACATTTTCTTGTTTTATTTAATTTTGTATTATGTATGTTTGCTATTTTTACCAGATTTTTTTTCATAGTGATTTTTGTTGAATTGTTCTGAATCCTGACCTCCAACAAAACTACCAAAAACCCATTTTTATTTTTAACCTAATACAATGGTTAAGTATGCATGGTTCACAATACATTCCTGTTCTGATCTACAATAATTACTAGCAAAGAAATCACTACGTTTACCAATATCAAATATGGTGTTCCTATAGATAAAATCACTACATTTTATTTTTGTAGAACATTACAAATAATGACAATCAAGACATTGAGCATCAGTTGAATTACGATCGTGAACAAACCTGATTGTGGTGACATTTCTTCTTTGTCCTCGTTACACACACGGGCTTTGTCACACTCTGCACACCTCAGACTCCCCACACTCGTCTCCTGATTTTTCCGTCTGGTCTCGCTCCACTGGAGCCTCTTCTTCAGAGTCTCTACCTGCTCTCGACTGCGGGACACTTCCTTCACGAAACTGTCCTCCACGAGACGGGTGATCTCAAATATGGCAGCTTTAAAAACGGTCTCCATGACCCCGGACAGCTGTGACTGAAATGAGTGTATGACTTCGGACATAATGACGAGTAAACAGATAAAAAAAATTAAAAAAAAAAGGTTTAAACCAACCGAGAATAGCTACTTTCTTTGTTATATAAACAAGCTACAAAGGCCTCCAGCTCCTTGTTAGACTTTCAAACCAGATTGTCACATATTGTTTGTGTGTTTTCGAACCATCTTTAAATGTAAAATCTGCACTACTCCATACACTTGCTAGCAAAAGCTAGCGAGGACTGTTATTGTGTTACGGTTAGTTGACGCTAACTACCGGTTATTGTTCTCTTATACGTGTCACATTTAAACAATGTAACATAAACGATACGCGGAGAATCAGCGCCGATCCAGAAACATGCTCTCGTCCTACAGCAGGAGGACTGACTGGAAGCACTTCCTGAAGCAAACATACGGATGGAAGTTAGGGACAAATTTAAAGGGACAGTTCACCCAAAAATGAAATTAGCGTTTGCGCATTTACAGCAGTTTACTTTTACTCAAAATCATTTATTTACCTTTATATTCTGTGGGACAGAAAAGTAGACTGGGCAGGATGACAGCCCCAGTCACTATCCATACAATGGACCCTTTCCACAAGACTGTGATGACGCGTTTAACGGTCAGCATCTTAAATCCTCGAAAGTTTTTTCATATTTGTATTTTTTTTAAATGCTCAACTCTCCTTGACGCCCTCGCCGGCCAAGACGCGCCGCGCCGCTCCTCGCCGCTTTTCGCCGCCTTTCGCCGCACGCGCACATTGAAAATGAATGTCTTCCGGTCACTTTGACGCTCTCGCCGCCGGCGGTGTGAACGCACAGTTAGAGTAGACAAAGTCAGATGGTAAATAGGGGAGCGTGGGGCACAAAGTAACGTGGGGTTAGTTGTAACACGGGGTTTGAATATTTCCACACATGCTAGCATAACAAAATGTACAGTATTTATTAGTTACCATATCAACATTATATAGAAAACAAACGTGCGCCAAAATTCAAAAATCTTTTGAAGATAACGCTGAACATTTATTTTACCATAGTAAAATAAAAATTCTGGCTTAAGTACATTTTTCATCTCAGTTTTTATTATTCATTTAAAATGAGACAAATCTGCTATTTTAATCTCCAATCTGTTATTTATCAGTTCCGATCGTTTTTTAATGCTTTGATAACTAGCAGAAGACACTAACCAGTTTTAAATTCCAGTTGCGCAGATGGGGCACATTGTAACACTGCGTTATAATATGCTATTCTATTACATTAGCGATGTAATTTACACTATTTACTTTAATGAATTTTAATGAGAAACAACGAGAAACAGGTGAATAAAGACTGACAGTCAATGTTTAATGTTTAGAAATTATTATTTCAAGACGTGTAAAGCATTTTTGCTCGTTTATGTGGGCCGTCCAAACATGGTTGCTATGTGTTCATTGTCAAACTCCAAAATCTGATTATTTTTTATTCTTAAAAAACGCCATTATTTTATTTGAATTTTTTTTTTAATTATTAACAAAATATTTTAGTTTGTCTTGTATATTTTTTTTCATTCGATCAGATAACATTTTAAGCTGTCACATGGTCATGTTATAACGTGCCCCTCAGATGTTACAATGTACCCCACCTACGGGGCATGTTGTCACATTTCACTTCCATTTTTTGAGGGTAAATAAAGAAAAAACGTATACACTGTAATTATGAAACAAAGTGACATATGTACTAGACAAGTGTAAAATTACTGTGAATAAAAAATTATATTCTGAACCCCATGTGGATTTACACAAACTGAGAAAGTCAAAAAGTGCTACTTTGTGCCCCGCTCTCCCCTACATAATCACTTCTATGGCCTTTTTCTCGGACCATTCAGCTATGGAATTTTTTTAATTTTTTTTTTATAAATATATTTAACATATGTATATTTATACCAATTTGATCTCATAATCTGTCATTTGTAATGTATACCTGCCTTAGGCTTTTTTCAACAGGGTTATTTACAGGTTTTTTGTTTGTTTTTTTTGGTCAGAAAAGCCCACTTTGGTTGACCGGGGATGCAGCCCTGTTCAGTTTATAGGACAACGTCTTAATGTGGGAGACATAACTAGTGATAAACTCACAGATCTCTGCGCCAGTGAGGATGGGAACAGACAGCTTGCATTGCTCCTCATCAAAAAAGAGGTAAGAAATGACGGGTCATATGATAGAAGAATAAGCGTTTACTCTTCCCCTCCGTCACCCTTTTTTGTTTTGCATATCAATTATGTGGTGAGAAACAGCAGAGTTCACAGACTGATGTCATATTTCCTCTCTGTAAGGGTTTTCTATATTTAGAGGCTTGATTGAAAATGCTATGTGAGGTGAGGTCAATTAGGATTGAGTTTAAATCTTATGTTTGTAGTTGATCTTTCTGGAGTGGATAGTATTTTAATGCTGCAGCCTTTTTATACATTATTATTTTATGTTCCGTGTCTTCAGCCTCAAGAGACTGAATGCAACAGCTATGCACCAGGATACTTTCTACTAAAGCAAGAGGGTGCTGAGCCCATACTGGTGCGCAGAGAGCCAAATAAGGACACCGTGGAAAGGGGTACAAGAGTCATTCACAAATTCAACTGAACAATGAGGGGAAAAATTCTCATATCTTATATGTAGTTCTTTCACAAGTCCACAATGGAGACTCAACTGCTTGGTGTAATATGCATTTACTAATTTAGCAGCAACTGATAGAATTAAATAAAATATAGGTTATTATATAACCATTTTTAAAAGTTGAACTTTTTACACTTGAATTTTTTTTTAATCTTCCATTTACATATATTTATCATGTAAGAGCCAATCCTTTTCAAATAAAAAATATGCATAAATATTTACACAGTTGTATTTCACAGTTAGGTGAAAAAAAAAAAAAAATAGTGCAGATGAAATTACCCCATCCCGTAGTGTGTACACCACTCAGATACTCAACTAATCTATCTGTAGAGGACTCAATTTGCAACTTTTTATATTTACATTTTGTCTTCCTTATATTCCTTTCTTGCATCTTCACCTCTCTATTCACAGTTGTGATCCCATCAGCGTTGCAAACAATAGCCAGACCCAATAACAACCATAGAGGAAAGTCACCATCACCACTAGTGATTCCTTCCTCTTGTAGTCGCAGAGTGGATTCCAGTGGTCAAAAACCCAATCAGACTATACAACCCAGCCGAGGAACATCTGAAAGAACATTGGAAACCACTGAAAGCTTGTCTTCCCAAAACAAAAGACAGAATGCCAGTGCACCAACACAGACATCAACTTCTTCGGTGCTTCCCAATTCAACCCAGACTCCTGCTTCCAATGTTAACTCGTCTGTGCCAATGATTGAGCTGTCTGGTGCTCCATCAATACCTCAAACCAAGCCTACAGCTTCATTAGTTCATCGTCGACCAAACCCAAATCCTCAAACATCAAACCAGACAGTTGTTCCTCCAAGCCAAGTCTTAGTAACAGAGCCTTATTCCTCCAAACAGCGAGTTCAGGCATTGGTTTCACATACTGAGAAAACTCTTTCAACCATTGCCTCGCTAAACCAGGCCACTGAGCCATTAACCCAATGTTCCTCTCAATTTACACAACCTCCATTCTTTCCACCACAATCCAGCAAAACACCAGCCCAAGAAATGACTCCACAAGTACACACTGTCATGCCATCAGGACTCGTTCCTGTCGCAGCAGCTCCAAAGACTCTTCCACCAGTCCAGGATCGGATTCCCTCATCCAGTCTTGTTCCTCCTCAATCTCATGTTTTTGCATCCCCACAGGTAATGCCAGCACATTCTGTGAATTCAAGTCCATCATTCCAGTTCCCTTTGGTTCTGCCACACAATCCAGTTCAGGTGACACCACCTTCTTATCTACCAATGCATGTTCCATTTTCTTCTACACATATTCCAGTTAACCTAATTCAGGGATCCGTCTCCTTAAACCCACCTCAACCTCCACTCACGCAATCTCAATATCCACCACAATCCGATCAATTCTCCTCTTTTCCAGACCAGTTTTTTCCTCCACCCGATAATACGCCAGGTTTGCTTGAATCTCTTGATACTTTGCATTTGCCTATCATGATAACGCCACAAGATGCCCCGGAGCAGGCACCCATGCACCATTTTCAGCCATCTGGGCAGTTTGCACCTCTGCTAACACTGAAGGAGCAACAAGCTGCCGCTACCGCTTCTGCTAACGTTGTTTTAGGGCGAGTACCCATTCCGTCTGTAGATACCTCTGCGTCTCCAGTTGATAACTTCGAAGCGAACGTACCATTTTCACCATGTTGCACAGAGAGAAATGATAAAGACCTTTTAGAAGATGATGACACACCCACCCTCCAGTCTAGACTTAGAAAACAGAGAAAGATTTGCTCCAAATCTAGACAAATAGATCCTGCAGGTGAGGATGGCACACTTATGGTAAAGGATAAGAAAGTAGATCAGGTGCAGAACGACTTGATTAGTGAAACACCAAATTCTGGCTCAAATAACGGAAATCAACTATTACCAAAACCGTCGGGCAAAACACTGCAGAGAAATACAGAGTGTCCCCAGTGTGGAAGGGTCCTCAGCAATGCATCAGCCTTGGAGAACCACATGAGACTTCATACTGGCGAAAGACCTTATACCTGTTCCCAGTGTGGAAAGGCGTTTCCTAGTGTCCGAGGTCTTAACCGGCATGTGAAGGTCCATGCGGAGGAGAAGCGGTATCAGTGTGAGGAGTGTGGGAAGAGTTTTGTATACCACTTTACCCTTACTAAACATCAGCTTATTCACTCTGGGGAAAGGCCATTTCCTTGTAAAGTTTGTGGAAAGAGGTTTTTGGCCAAGGCAGACCGGGCTACCCATATGCGAATGCACACCGGAGAGAAGCCGTTCTCGTGCACTCTATGTGGGAAGAAGTTTAAACATAGAGTCGCTCTGAATATGCATATGCAGGGGCATAGAGGAGAGACACGCTACATCTGCCCCCACTGTGAAAAGGGATTTGTGGATCTAGGAAATTTTAAAAGACACAAGCTCATCCACACAGGGGAAAGACCGTTTGAGTGCAAGAAATGTGGGAAACGCTTTACTCAGTCAGCCCATCTCAAGAAACACATCAACACACAACATTTTACATGAAAAAAATAATAATTTGGATTGTTCAATATTAAGCATTCAGTTGATCTACTGATAAATATTCTGTTGCAGAAAATAAAACGGTATTAGGCCCGACTGTAAATTCATTTATGAAGATGCTATTTTTAAAATGGAAAAGTAAAAAAAATAACTGCTTTCCTGCATTAATTTTGTGCATGCTCTTTTTCTCATACCAAGCAAAGCAAAAAAAATTGCTTACTTTTTTTTTTTAAAGTGCTTTAACGAAGCAATGTAAAGTAATAACATCTGATGATTTTTCTATTCTTTTGTTAGTGTGAAACTTATATACTGCTTCTTAATTTTTTTTAAATATATATTTTGTTAGTTTTTCTATTGTCCATCCTTACTATAAATAATCAATAAAACACCTTAGGTGTAGTTTTGTAAAATGATACCCATGTAAACGGAGTTTGTTTGCTCCAGTTTATCTTGAAATTGTATTAGGCATATTCATATGAATGTACTAGTATGATGCAGATAAGAAATAAATCTTATCAACCATGGGTGGCAGTGTATGATACCACATATTGTCTAACACCATTTATTAAGTGTATATTAATAGAATTTCTTTGAATGCATATTTAGAAATCAGCGTAATATTTGTAAAATTATTTAACTATTTGTTAATTGATATTCAAAATATGTGTGACCTTATATGGTTGCATAAAATATACTAAAACATATTTTCTATATTTGGGCAGAAAATGTAATATTGTGGATTAGAAAACATTTATTTTTGCAACATTTGTACTGATCATACAAATATTACACTAAACTAGTATGTGACAAAAATGACAATCATAACTTTGGAAATTAAATTCATGTTAATAAAAATAACTTTGGTGGTCCCCGAGTTATATTTCTGCCTGTCACATGACTTCACAATCTATCTTTGAGGTTTGTAAGGTCTGTATAAGCAGCATAGCTCTTCAATGGAAGTCCTCCATAGCTGGAAATACCAGTAAAGGAATGTTTGGGTTGAAATGCTATGCAATTTCAGAGATCTAAGAATGATTTATATTGCCATAAAAGAATGGGATGACTGTGTATTTGGCTGGATGAACTCCATTTCACTATAGAGGGAAGGCATCACATAGGAAACTGTATAAAAGCAGAGATGCCCACAGAGGGAGGGACATGCTGATAAGGCGCAAGCCTGCGCTGGACTTCATGGTGTAACTGCACCTGCCCACGTTTCCTACCTTGTCAACAGCAGACAAAGTCACAGAAGGTGAACAACATGAGGCCTCATACAGACCCATCACCACGATCACACCGTCTTCCACTTTCCTCTGGGTGAAGTTTCCACTGCCTTGCTGGATGGAAATGCTCTCGATGCCTGTGCCATTACCGTCTGTGATGTTGACAGACAGTTCCCAGTTTGATGAGTTGCAAGAGGAGGAGTAGCAAATACCCTGTACATTGACTATTTCACATTTTGGAGGTGTGAAGTCAGTAACCTGGATGAAACAGTAAAGGGCGAGTTGAAACAACAGCTTAGTATTAAATTATGTGGTATATATATTTCATTAAAATGACAGTAAAAACAATAGCGTTGTGAAATGTTATAATTTAAAATAACTGTTTTCTATTTAAATATATTTATTCCTATGATAGCAAAGCATCATTATTACGGTCTTTAGTGTCACATGATCCTTCAGAAATCATTCTAATATGCTGATTTGCTGCTCAAGGAACATTTATAATTATTATTAGCAATATTGAAAACAGTTGAGCTGCTTCATATTTTTGTGGAAAACCATGATACATTTTCTTTCAGGATTCTTTGATGAATAGAAATTCAGCAAAGCACAGCGTTTATGTAAAATAGAAACACTTTGTAACTAAGTCAAAGTATTCACTACAGCGTCTGCTCAATTTAATGCATCATTGCTAAATGAAATAATTCATTTCTACAAAAAAAAAAAAAAATCATACTGACCCCCAACTTTTGAATGGTATTATATATTAAACATAAGTCAAACACAATTTGTTTTGTGTGAAGAAACAATTGGCGGTCACTCACAGAAAGCATTTATAAATCTAAACTGTCCATTTTCTTAGTGGGCCACTAGTGCAAAATCAGCAGAGACTCTGAAATAACATCCCACATATAAATATGCCTCATTACATTTCTTATAAATTGCACAAGAGCAGAATGCTTTATCAGTCTGTCTGAAACCTCTGAGGTTACCTTGGAGAGAACCGAAAGGCGAAGGACAGCATAGTTAGAATGACTTCCTCCAGGGCTTTCTGCCTCGATGGTTAGCGTAACATCTGTGCCTGAGACCGTATTACCAGGTGGAGTGAGAGACACGGTCCCCTGAGCACTGCCGCCACTCACGAGATTGAGCCTGTGAGGGCAAAGAAACAGAATTGTAGCAAAGAGTTTTGTTCTTGATAAGAAAAGCTGATTAAAGCTTGTATGTCAATCATTACTGAGTGATTTGAGAACTAAGTGAAGGAATTACGTTGATGGATGTGTCATAGGGATGTTTTTGTCATTCCTTGCACGGATTGTGTAGGTACCACTGGTTCCATTGGTTGTAACAGTAAAATTGAGTTTAAATACTTGTCCTGGTAGCATGGAGCTGTCTGCTATTGCCTGTAGATGGAGAGAATTTCATTAGAATTTAAATTTGATTGGTTTAAACAACTAGCGAGCAGCCTACTGCCTTCTAAAGGAAGCATAATGGGAACTTACAAGTGACTGATTTTCATACAAGAGACTCGACTCACTAGTTTATTATGTTAGCATGTTGCTAAGCTAACAGCACAACACTTAAATCAGCTAAATAATAGTCAACAAATCAATTTTTAATAAGAAGAACGTAGTTTGTACCTTGATGGTGACTTTAGACTGAGACATCTGTGTGGTGGTCTGCCTCTGGAACAGGCTGGTGAAGGTCTTGTCTTTTCCTTTCAGCATTACTACAAACTCTCCTTCTGGCACTTCGTTCACAGTAACCAGGTAATCTCCATTACCCATTTTCTCAATGGTTCCATTAGACACTTTGACCCCAGACACCTCCATGAGAACAACCTCCTGCAGCTCTAGAGCCTCCGGACCTTTCTCTCCTGTTAGTGTTAGCAGCAGCTTAGCCGGTGAGCCTATAAAGAGCAAAATATCTGTACACTTCCATTCAAATCATTCAATAAGAATTGTTTAATAGTTAAACAGGACAACGGTTTAAACCTGTTGATGGCCGCCCATCAATGGCAGCAAATCCAGGATGGGGTCCTTCGAATTCCTCCACAAAGTCGTAGATGAATGTAATCGCACTCTGACCTGTAAAACATGGTTTCAAATTAGAAAGGCAACAAAGGGTCTGAATACTATCAACATACATCTCAGAGTGCCACAGCATTTTTATTACTATCAAAATTACTAATTGAATTGTTTTAATTAATTACAATGTTTTTTTATCAATACTCCATATTAGCCATTTTCCTCTTAATATTACAAGAGTAAAGAACAAATATAAATTTCTATCATGACAACTCTCTGAAGGTGTTATCATGGTAATGGATATGACAATGTTAATGTATTTGGTCTTGGCCGAATAGATGTGCTACGCTGCTGCTGCGGAATTGTTGCTGTTGTTGGTTATTGCTGTTGTTTTAGATTATTGCTGATATTGCTGTCGATACGGTGCTGTATTTAAGACATACTGCTGCTGCACAAATAGTCTATGTAGTAGATCTATACAGGTGGAGCTGGGGAAGGTGGAGAGTTTCAGAGGAACTCTGAAATGCTCAAGCGAATGCTAACCAGCCATTTAAATGTAAAGCAGCAAACTCAGTGGCTGTGTGTGCAACATGAACAAATCAGCTTGGTTTATGCTGTAAATAATATCATAGTTTGCGTTAAGGACCCAACATGCCTGAGTTTCATGAGAGAACTTGGCATTTATCTGTATTCTTCTCATAACAGGTTGGCAATAACTTTAGTGTTTGGCTTTGCATTGATTTATCAAATAAGTACATGATGGCTCACCCATCACTTTTATGGAGTAGGGCCACATTGTCGTCATGTCAACGTGCCACAGGCCCATCTCTGTTCCGTTTACTTGGATTCGTTGCAGGTTTCCCACTCTCTGAATTGTTCCCAGAGGTCCGTTGACAACAGTGTTAGATTGAGTCACTCCTGGAAGCAAGTGTATTCCGTTAGGCAATAAAAGAGGAACTTACTTTGATATCTTATATTGAAGCTTAACACAATATAATACAATCAATTCTTGTTTGGGTTATTATAGTCTTTTGGTTTTCTTTTTTTTAAATCATGAAAATGTATTTTGGTTACAAAAAAATATTTGTATTTTAGTTTTAGTTAAAGGGGTCTCTGAATTTACCTGTGGGGCTGCGCAGGTTGAACGTGAGGCCAGTTCCTGTGATGTAGATGGTAGTGTTGGACACAGACCCGTCCAGTAAGAAGGGGAAATTCTCTACACGTCCTGGATCTCTAGAGCACTGAAGAATTGTCACCTGATAGATAGAGTGTGCAAACATTTGCAAAAATGAAAAGACATAATAGAAAGTTATTTGAAGATGCTGTTTTTTGTATTTGCAATGTCAGTGAGCTAGCATAACCATTTTGTTTGTGAGATGTTGACAATTGTGAAAAGACTATAAGACGCTGATCATACCAGGGCTGATGTAGAGGTGTCGACAATGATGTCAGTGGCTTGAGAGATGCTGGACTTGGAGACCTCAATGGCTTGACCGCCAGAGGCCAAGGCCATGTCATAATACATCTGAAACTGTGACGATGCACTCAATGCCCTTCTCCTCCTGCTTGATGCTGTCAGTAAGAAAGATACCTGAAAAGAAAGGCCAAGAGATGGAAAAGTGGGAAACTGATGGAGGGCTGGTGAAATTTATGATGGCAAGGACTGCATGTGAAACAAGGATGGATAGATTTACCGTAGTCTTGGTGCTGCTAATAAGGGCAGCTATGGTTTTCTCCAGGTGTGTATCCTTAGGTGGAGCATCCGTGAACACATATATATATGAGGAGGAAGGAGCTCCTGTCAGAGCCAACTGTGGGAGAAACCGAAGGTTAGAAAGAAGAGGAACCTTGACTCCTTGTTCGATAATCTAATATTTCTTAGTTCTAACTGGGAACTATATTGGTAGTATTCACATATGACGACTGAGATGATTGGCTGAAAGGCCACACAACACAGTACCTGAAGTGCTGACATGCACATTTCTGGGATATCTCCTCCTCCATCAGCGTTGATCTTGGAGATCTCTGATTTCATCACATCTGGGTCTGTGGTTCTTATTAGGGGTCCAAATTCTACAAATTCATGCAAAATATATTTTGTGTCTGTAAATAATTTAGATTTATATTCATTTAGACCAGTGATGGGCAAATTTGGCCCTTCCAGGCCACTTTCCTACAGATATTTGATCCAACCCTGATCAAACTCACCTGCCTGTAGCCTTCTAGTAGTCTTGAAGACAATGATTAGCTGGTTCAGGTGTGTTTGATTAGGGTTGGAGCTAAACTCTGAAGGAAAGTGGCCTGGAAGGGCCAAGTTTGCCCACCCCTGATAATGAACCAATGTTGGTAATAAATAAATTGCATCAATAAAAACAGTTCAGTGTAATTAAAATGCATGTTTTTTTACCAAATATTTTTATGCGCTATATGTTATGTATGTTTTTTGCTCTCACTTGGATCATTAAACGGCACCAGAATGTATTCAGATGGTTCATCTTGAGTTCCCTTTTTACTGTCGATAATGTTGAAGGCGACTCTCTTGGCCTCTGCAATGTCGTCTGCCATACTGCCTGTGGTGTCGATCACAAAAGCCAGCACTGCAGATCGCGAAATACCCATCAGCCTGATGGAGGAGGAAAAAGAGAGAAATATTTTGGTTAATGGATTCAAAACCAGATTTATAAAAAATAAATACATTTATATTTACATACACCATTAAGATGTATGTGGGCAATAAGACTTAATGTATCTTCTGCTCAAGAAGCATTTCTTATTATTATTAAAGTTGAAAATAGTTGTGCTGTTAAAAAATGTGGAAACTGATATGTTTTTTTCAGGATTCTTTGATGAATAGAAAAGTACAGCATTTATTAGAAATAGAAATATATTTGTAACATTACAAATATTTGATCAATCTAATGCATATTTTCTGAATACAAATATTAATAGCTTTAAAAAAAAAATCTTACTGTCCTCAAGCGTTTGAACAGTGGTGTAGAGAACAGGTTGTTAAAGGGATACTCCACCCCAAAATGAAAATGGTGTCATTAATCACTTACCTTCATGTCGTTCCAAACCCCTAAAAGCTTTGTTCGTCTTCGGAACACAATTTAAGATATTTTGGATGAAAACTGGGAGGCTTGTGACTGTCCCATTGACTGCCAAGTAAATTACACTGTCAAGGTCCAGAAAAGTATGAAAGACATCGTCAGAATAGTCCGTCTGCCATCAGTGGTTCAACCGTAACATTATGAAGCGACGAGAATACTTTTTGTATGCGAAGAAAACAAAAATAGCGAATGCACCATCACCGTAGCACCATTCTGAACGCAAGCAGCGTACGCTATTCTGTGTCAGCCACGCTGCACGGATGCGCTGTTTTTGTTCAAATCAAAGTGTAAATACACGTAGAAAACATATCCTTGTGTCACGGCTGACACAGAATAGTGTACGCAGTTTGTGTTCAGCAGATATTCTCCAAAATGTCGCTACAGTAATGCGGAGAGACACAGAGGAGACAAATTGTTGAATAAAGATTTTGCATTTGACTGTTTTTATTGATTTTGAGGAATACTGAATTTGTTTTGTGCAGGTGAGATGAGTAAATACATGTTCATATTTAGTCTAGAACTACAGTAACATCATGTTCACACAGCGCACACAACGCCTCTGCACTTACTCCCGATTTCTCTCAACATGGCAACACGAGAGCTGTCAGTCAATACATGGGAAACAAAGTAACTGGAGTTACTGAGTTAATTAAAAAGTAACTCAGATATTTCCTTCTACATTAAAAAGTATGCGTTACTTTACTAGTTACTTTAAAAAAGTAATCTGATTAACTTTTGTTACTTGTAATGCGTTATCCCCAACAATGAATAAGAGTTTCTGAAGTTTTAAAACTTAAGAATATTTTCTCTCCAAATCAACTTTCTCAAATCCACTTTTAAACAGTAGTTTTCGCTCCTTTTTCCACTTCTAATCCCTATTGAAGTGTTGCTTAAGTGAGTAAATTGAATAAATCAGATACCTTATTTTTTTTTATACGCCAGGCATTTTGAATTAGCTTTTTTCACTTACACTACTTGAACTACACTATTTTAACTAACAGATTTTTAAATTCTGCTTTTACTTTTTTAATTGCTGTCAAAAAGTAGTTTTCTTTGGTAAATTTGGACATTGCTTAATTGAAACCACTCCTTACCCCATGAACACAATATATCAAATAGATTTTGCTGTATTTTGTAATAATGGAAAGAAAAAAAATTTGCAAAGTGTGTCAGGAAATAAGTTGAGCCACAACCTTACAACATCCACCAACATCCTAGTTACAACAACATTATTTGAAATAACTCCACGCTCAGTTACGACAATTAAAAAGGGCTGAACACCAAAACTTATTTATTTAATGTTTAAAGATGCACCTTTTTAAGGAAACGTGTCACAACCATTAGCAAAAACACTTCTTATTATATATTATGTTTTTATTCTTACAGATGATTATATATATACACATACATACAGTGGTGGCCAAAATGATTAGAACTCTAGTGTTTTTCACCAGCTAAAAATGGTTTTACGTCAGTTATTTTTATCTTTTGCTGTAGTGTGCCGGTAGGAAATATCAGTTTACATTTCCAAACATTAATTTTGCCATTAATTGTAATAATCCAGTGAGATTTTTGTTTTAATTTTGAGATTTTCTAGTAATTTGTGTGTATATACCACTGTATACATACATATAGATTTGTGTTGTTGCTTAAAGACACACCTTTTAGAGAAACATGTATAGTTTAGATTTTGTATGTTTTTAGTCCTTAATGTATTTTCAATAGGTAAAAGTGTCAATAAATAGTTAATAAAAACATGTTCTTGAGCAATTCTGAGGCAATATGCTTGTGCAATGTCACTGATACTGATTTATCACCCTCTTGCTAACCTGTAGTGTGTGACACACTCGTCCCAGTGTTTCTCGGGCAGACTGAAAGTTGTCGGTGCGGATGTTCGCTTTAATGGCCGCAGTCCCCTGAATGATAAGGTTGCGTCCCTCATTGAAGGCCTCATTATTGAAGTGGTGTGGTGCGCTGCTCATGAAGTCCTGGTCCACAAAGCCATTCTGCTTGTAGATCTGATTCAGTGCTGTGCGGAACTTGGCCCCCGATACCTCACCTGTGGCTCTGCCCAGACATGCACGCAGCAGCTCTTCTGCTGATGGGCCCTGAGTTAAAGTGGGAAATTAAATTATGTGTCATCATTTTGAAAAATGACTTGGTCTATATGTCTTCCAAAGAAGTGCACAGCTTTCATGGTAGTGCTGTTTTATGCCTCTGCTTGTACACAGACTCACCGTGGGTTTGAAATCTTTTCCTTCTGATTCAGCCACTGCTTCACACACCTCATTGATCTTCGCCATTACAGCATGGTCAGTAATGGTCACATGGGTGTTTCCGCTACCCCCAACTGAAATAAATGCCTGCACCCTGGACACCACTAGTGCGATCAGGGCCATGACGGGCACTGATGACTTCATGATCATCTGAATTAAACTGAAGTGAACAAATATTTTTTCTTTTAGTGAAGCTGCCTGTGCAACAGCACTAGTTAAAGAAATGTGAAAACAACTATGTAAGAGACATTTTCATTTTATTTTTCATTGTGAGACACTGAGGGCCCTATTTTAACGATCTGATCGCATGGTCTAAAGCACACGGCGGCAGGTGCACTTAGGGGGTGTCCGAATCCACTTTTGCTAGTTTAACGATGGGAAAAATGGTCGGCGCACCCGGCGCATGGTCTAAAAGGGTTGTCCCTATTCTCTTTATGAGTAATGGGTGTGTTTTGGGCATAACATGCTATAAACCAATCAGAGTCTCATCTCCCATTCCTTTTAAGAGCCAGTTGCGCTCGCGCCATTGTACTGGCAAATGACTTCTTCTCACCGGTGATTCTCAAATCTGGATGGTTTTAGAGGACAATTACTCCTCGTTGCCCCCTGTTGTTTCAAAGAATAGTACAACGGCGAACACAACAAGTATAAAAGCCTCGTCCATTTGGGAAGGTGCGCGTGCAGTCAGCAGAGGCTCACGAAGCAGAGCTAGGCGAAAGTATAAATCCCGCTTTACATGGCGGAATTTGCAAGTGCAAAGACTGGGTTGCGTTCAGCCCCGACAAAACGGTGCAAAACGTTTTTTAAATGGAAACGGTGGTGCGTTGAACACCCTGTTCTGATGACGCAAGAGTTGCAACTATGGCAGCTGAGAAGGCCATTCTTTGTGTTCTTTTTGAAGAATTTTCGGAGCCTGATGAAATCGGTATAAATACGTGTTTAATACTGCAAAATACGCTCGATGTAACAGTCACTGCCCTTGCCCTCCAGAATAAAAGAGAATATCCCAATCGAGTGAAGGGATTTGCTGAAACTGTGGTTCCTAATTATTGTGATCCAACATTTGCCTCGCATTTGCCCCATAGCGACCCCTAGAGGATGCAGTGTCTCGTTCCCTACTCAAGGAACCATGGTTACATAAGTAACCTGAGACGTTCCCTTTCATGGGAACTTCGAACTGCGTCCTCTAGGGGTCGCTATGGGGAACGGTATACCCATGCCACCATGCTGAGGGGAGTGCAAGCCAGAACCATGGCGAGCACTAAGTACCACCTATTTATACTATAGTCGCACCGGTAGTGACATCATGGCTGTCGCCGGCCAACGAGTTGGTGTTTTTTCAATGTATGCTTCAGACACGGGTCACGACGAGGCGTTCCCCATAGCGACCCCTAGAGGACGCAGTTCGAAGTTCCTATGAAAGGGAACATATCTCAAACCCCCTTGCACACCGTTTTCAGGAAGCATGCTATTCAAACCGGAAACCGTAGCTAAACTTTGTGCACCGGTTTGAGCTTGAACTTGCCCCTGAACGCGTCTCAGAGAGGAAACGAAGCTGCTTGTGCGCGAGCAAATAGGTAGCGTAATTCTGATATATGCAATGACTATCTGTTATGACATGATGTAGGCATGTTTATATTTATGTAGCCTACACAATAATAATCTTTTACATTGTAATCCTTTCATTTTTAATATTTGGCATGTTTGTGTGCTGTTGCGCGTCACTGTTTGTGTAATAAGCAGAGTGTACCTGCCTATAGGTGCATATTACTAACGCGCTCTTTAAATAACAAAAAAATACTGTGCCATTGACTTTAGACCAGGTTTTAGTAGCTCATTGGCGCTGTCTATTTCAGTTGCCTCAAAATAGCAACCCGCCAACAACGCACCTGAACACACCTCGTTTTCAGGCCAGCATGCCCATGGGCGCAAATGCATTTGCTATTTAAACAACATGGTGCAGGATGTGAAAATGATAACTGCGTCTGGCTGAAACTAGCAAAAAACACTTGCGTCGCGCCTGGCTCCACATTGCGCCGATCGTATGATAGGGCCCTGAGACTTTTTCTCAATAATATAGCTGCTTTTATGAAAATGTACTGTAGTCATATTTTTATTTCTTGTAGTAATAATGTGAGGTACAATGTTGTTTTTTTCATGCGTAAAAACTAAAATAAAGAAATTTAAATCTTTAGAGAGAGGGAACTGAGGGGAATTAGGTAAAGATATTATAAAAGGATGGAAATATATATATATATATATATATATATATATATATAAGTGTAACTAAATATAATAAATATTTAAAAATAAATAAATTCCTGTAAATCCCATGTAGCAATATATCCTATATATATACTGTATATATGTATCAATTTTTTTAATTTATTGATTTATACATAATCTAAAAGCTGAATAAATAAGTCAACAAGTCGATCATTATTGTCTTATTCAGTGATAATATGTCAGCAAATATGACCATGTATTTTGTCAAACTTCATTGTCTCTGCTCAATTATTTATTTATTTGGTTGCCCTGTGGCCTCAAATATCTAAAACAATTCATATGTATTGTTCAGCACTATTCATGCATTTAAAAGACATACAAACAGTCTGAACAGCTGTTATCTGTAGGTGAAACAAAACATAATAATTATGAATAGCTGAACTGTCATGTGACACAAAAACCCAAAGATCCCACTTACACCTACAGCTTTCTACTGTTCTTCAACTGTGATAATGCCCCGCCTCTTCAAAACTACATACAAAATTATGTACGATACACAGGAATGAAAATAAGAGTGAGGAGAGAGAGAAGAAATAAGGCAGAGGCAAAGAAGAATTCACAGAAGAAAGAAACTAAGGGACACCTAAAGATCAACAGAAGATGCTCTGTGGGAGCACATAAACAAACTTCATAAAAGGTATGTTTCATTTTAATCTATCCGGGTGCTATTTGTCTATTTGTTAGGATAGGACAATATTTGGCCAAGATACAACTATTTGAAAATCTGGAATCTGAGGGTGCAAAAAAAAAAAAATCTAAATATTGAGAAAATCGCCTTTAAAGTTGTCCAAATGAAGTCCTTAGCAATGCATATTATTAATCAAAAATTAAGTTTTTATATATTTATGGTAGGAAATCTACAAAATATGTTTCTATATATATATATATAATATTATAAACATACACTATCGCTAAAAAACTATTACTTTCATTACAATAGGTGGATGTAGTAATATAATAAATATAATATAAGACATTCTTACCTTATACCACTTTTCAATCTGCTTCTGTTCCTCCTGTATCTCCCCTTAATTGTGGATCCTTGTTAGTCTCTGATGACAAGTATATATATACCGTATTGACTATATATATATATATATATATATATATATATATGTATATATATGTCTTATCACACAGTGTTCAGAAGTTGCCATGCAATCAGACCTCAGCAAATGATTAACCACAATGGAGGAATTACATTATTAAGACATGGCTGCCTTTAAAATATTGTGTTACATCTCACACACACACACAAAATTATGAATCATAGCTATAATAGCCAACATCAACTGTGAAATAACATCCAAATCTGTTATTATAAAACTAGAGCTGTAATAAAACTGAGTTTTTAGCCATGGAACAAATTACTCATGACTAGCTTAAAATCTGTGGAACCAGTTGCACTTTTTTTTTCATTATTTCATATGTGAAGTTCCTTACATAACTGAAAATAAAAACAAACCTGTAGGTGCAATTTAGGTCCAATTATCAATCAGGTTGGCAAAAGAATACTTTCTTTCACAAAAGGTGGCAGAATTCAACCTGTCTTTAACATTACAGGGTTGTTGAATCGCGCCCTGCTCAGCTCTTTTTACCTTCGTTTTCCACAAGTCGATCATTATTGTCTTATTCAGTGATAATATGTCAGCAAATATGACCATGTCTCTCAGTGAATTTAAAAGAGAAGATCTAAGGATGAGAGACAAAAAAGAAGCTACTACCATCATGTTAGCGCAATGTAGGTAATGAGATGTTCACACATTAAGAAGTTGTAAATCTATACTGTGGTGATTATTGTGGTATTGTGGTGATTATTTATGGGTCAGAATTATTTATTTGGTTGGCCTGTGGCCTCAGATATCTAATAAAACAATTCATATGTATTGTTCAGCACTATTCATACATTTAAAAGACATACAAACAGTCTGAACAGCTGTTATCTGTAGGTGAAACAAAACATAATAATTATGAATAGCTGAACTGTCATGTGACACAAAAACACAAAGATCCCACTTACACCTACAGCTTTCTACTGTTCTTCAACTGTGATAATGCCCCGCCTCTTCAAAACTACATACAAAATGATGTACGATACACAGGAATGAAAATAAGAGTGAGAAGAGAGAGAATTAAGGCAGAGGCAAAGAAGAATTCACAGAAGAAAGAAACTGAGGGGCACCTAAAGATCAACAGAAGATGCTCTGTGGGAGCACATAAACAAACTTCATAAAAGGTAAGTTTCATTTTAGTCTATCCAGGTGCTGCTTTGTGAGTAGAGGGACCAATGACAGTAGTGCCAGAATAAAAAGCCAGAAAATTCAACCTGAAAAACATACTGTCACTGCCTTTTATGGTAAAAAAGAACGAGGAATCTTAAAATATTTGAACTTCCATATTAAAATACAATAGTTATTTAAAATCATATTTTACAGTATTACTGTTTTCAAATTTAGGACAAAAAAGATTTATATGCCTGCTGCTAGTGTCTGAAATTCCCATTTTACAGAAACAAGATACTGATCAACTAAAATAGTTAGAGAGACTTAAGAATATCCTCACCAATCTCTTCAACATAATAAAAGAGAAGAAGAATTGAGGCAGACAAACTTCAAGGCCCAAAGGCTGAGGCGCCTTAAGTCTTAGGTGAGTAAACACCTGCATTATTACATTATAATTCCAATGAAACCGATTGCTCACTTTTCTTCTAAGACTGCCTTTCTTCTTCCCACAACCCTTTCTATGTTTCTAAGGAAATGTTGTTGTTGGAGAGAGATTGTTGGAGCAGGCACTGACATGCTCATGTTCCCAATCGTAAGCTACTTTTTTCAAGGAAAAATTAGATCCATTACAATTCCTGAATTAAACTGTAGTAGGTTTATAACATCAACACCAAGATTTTCCTGAGGAATAACTGACAACTCTGACATGAATGGATGATGCAGGATAAGCGAACGGTAGACATCGCACAGTCGTCATTTCTACTAAAACACCAATTGTTATGTACTGTACGTGTGAGATACGTTCCTGTTTAACACACTGTGAAACCAATGAATCTAAATCTGAGCACATTTATAAAGCAACATGCTTGTTTAGACACTGTAAACTACTGTAAGATTGATTAGAGAATGTGTGAACTTGATGATAAACTACAGTTGAGATTTCACTACATTTTGGCAAGACTTGGTCTGCCTGCTCTTTTTTGATAAGATAAAACAAAATGCAGACAAATGCTGTTACTCAAAACGCTTATGCGATCATCTATGCACATGCCTAAACAGAGACAAACTTTTAACATACCTCAGGGTGATGTTGTTGTGAAGGTCTTGGATGAAAGTGTTGTGATTTTTCACACCAGACAAAACTAAGCCAAAATAGCGACAGCAGAGAGTGCACAGACAGACTAATAGACTTAAGAGACTAAGGCGGTTCACTACAGTATAACTGTAAATGCAGTTAAGTCGATAAGAGTTTTCTTAACTTCAAAGCTCGTCTGAGTGTCATCACCACAGCTTCCTATTTGCTTGTTTTTACATATCTTTCTCATTCTTTCTTCCTCTTTTTTGAAAGCATTGGGAAATCTTCTATTTTGTCAGCATTGGAATGCAACACAGCAATAAATTACATTTTAAGATCAATTTAAAGAGAAAACAGCTATTTTAAATTGCACAGTAGGTATAAAAAGTCTACAAACCCCTGTTAAAATGGTTATTTTTTCAGAAGAAAAAAGGAATCCAAGTAAAATCATGTCAGAGCCACATTTAATGTAATACTGAAACCAATAACAAATAAAAGTCTTGAAATAGCCTGATTGCACAAGTGTGCACACCCCTCAACTAATATACTAATATTAATACTAATATAGAAATGCCTTTTGCTTTTAGCTAGTCAATAGCCATTAGAGTATATCAATTTTGCACATCTTTATTTAGGTCTGGGCTCTGACAAAAGGTTCTTTTTTCTTCTTCTTCTGAAGCGTCTGAAGATGGTTTTATTGACTTAGATTTGTGTTCAAGGCTATTAACATGCTGAAAGATAAAATTCCTCTTTATCTATATATTTTTAATGGATGCCTGCAGGTTTTGTGGCAAAATGTTCTGGTATTTGGTACTTCCCATGATTGCTTCTATCTTGACTACTGCCTCAGTCCCAGCTGAAGAGAAGCAGCCCTGTTGCATGATCCACCATCTTCATCATGGGTTCAAAAGTTCAGTGTAGTTTATTCAAATCATAAAATCTTTTGCCACATGATTTTAGCTAAATTTGGACAAGCTAAGGTTTTTTTTTTGGTGAACAATAGCTTCCGTCTCTTCACTCGACACCACAAACATGGAGAATAAAGGATGTTGTTGTCACATGCAGCAAGTGACCATTACTTTCCACACATTCATGCAGCTCCTTTAATGTTAGGTTATGTCTCTTGGCAGCCTAATATGTTTTCTTTTTTTCCATACATTTTTGACAGATACTCTATTCTTTGGAATGTCACTGCTTTCAAATTCCAAAACAGATGTCTTGTTATAAAGGGAATTTTTATGCAAACAGGTCACTTTAAGTTTTAAATCTCAAAAAGCTGCCATTTTAACTGTGATGCCCAGAATTTTTATACCCACTGTACTAATGTTTCACAGTATTACTGTTTTACTGTATTTTTTATCAAATAAATTCGGACTTGATGAGCATAAGAGACGTCTTTCACAAATCTTCCAAAAAGTTCAAACAATAATTGGCAGATCCCACACTCTCAGAAAAAAAGGTACAAAAGCTGACACTGGGGCGGTACCTGTTCCAAATGTACACTTTTGTAACTTTTTGGTACACAGTGGCAGTTTTGTACCTTTTTTCTGAGAGTGTATGCAATACAACACCTGGTTGAAGATCCTACAGATGTTCAACTTCAAGATAAAACACACACCCACACACACATTTTAAAAAACACATAATAAAGGTTTCATAGATCTATGCTTCATTGCAGAAGTCTGTAATAAAATATATGAATATTTTTTCTCTTTTTTGTGACAGCAATGACTTCATCATTCCCTCCTAATTCCACCCTCAGCCCATCATCCCCCTCAGAGCTCCACTGCCCTCTTCTGCAAACAATGAGCTCTCACACCTTGAACAAAGACACTGGCGTGAACTTGGGAGTGGTGAGTGTCCACGGTGTGGTATCCACTCTGGGTATCCTGGAAAACGGACTGGTGCTGTGGGTGCTTGGTTTCCGTCTTCGTCGCAGGACGGTTGCTGCAGTATGGGTCCTCAATCTGGCGTTGTCGGACTTCCTAACCACGCTAACCTTGCCGCTTTTCACTCATTACCTATTGATGAACCACAGCTGGGAGTTGGGTGGTGCTTTGTGTGCAGCCCAGGCCTCCATTTTTTTCCTCAACATGTTTGTTTCTGCCTTCCTACTGGCTGTGATATCATTGGACCGTTGTTTGATCGTGACCAAGCCGGTTTGGACTCAGAACCATCGTACTGTGTCGGCAGCGTGGAAGATCTGCGGTCTAGGATGGGCTTGGGCGGCAGTTAACGCACTTCCGTATTTCATGTTCCGTTCCGTTGTGGAAAAGAAGGATGGCCGCAAACTCTGCTATCACAATTTTGCACTCTATTCCTCCTCAAACACACTGCACAGAGACTGTAAGGTGCGTCAGGCAGCGACGGCAGTGTCCAAAGTCTTGCTGGCATTTGTCGTACCTCTGATTGTCATCGCCATCAGTTACACTTCCATTTTTCTTGAACTGCGAGCTCGCAGAAAGAGGCTTGAGAGTCGACGGCAGGGTGCGAGCAATGGCAAACTGAGATCCTTGAAATTCTTCCGCAGCCTGTCTTCATCAGGCAGAGAAAACAGTGTTCGGCTCTCGGGAAGTTTCATGAAGATGGTCGTCTCAGTGATCACAACCTTTATTCTCTGCTGGGTGCCCTACCACGTCTTCTGTTTGCTGGAGGTGATGGCTCAGTACAAGACAGAGATTGTGGAGCTTGTGGAGGTGTACTTACCTGTGGCGACAACATTCGCCTTCCTGAACCCTGTATTGAACCCAATTATCTACGCTTTTAGCTGTCCAAACTTCTGCACTCGAATCCGCCAAAGTTTGGGGGCTCTTTTCGAGGGGCTGGTGGAGGAAGCTGGACCCATAGTATGGGTTACAGAAAGGATTAGGAAGAAAGATTCATTGTTCCCCTCTTCACCCAGCTCTCCCACCCCCACCAATGTCACTCATGTCCAGGGCTCCATCAACCTCATTGGCTTTAAAAACTGCCCAACAAATGAGGGAGAGAGGGAAGACAAAATGTGACTTTATGATGTGGAATATCCTGGAATTGACGACTAATGTTTCTGAGTGAACTACAGTCTACCAACTAGATGTCATAATCATGGGATGGCCTTTTGAGCTTTTATCTTTTCTGCATCTCTTTGCTACACTGGGTTTGATTTAAGATATAGTCATGCTGGGTTACCTCTGAGGTTGTTGTGATTTTGAGAATATTAAAGAGAGTGTGTCCCTGCCACTGGTAAACACAAATTAACTCAAAACCAAAGCCCCTCAAACACACACAAGTCAACATGACTCATATTCCTGTTTCTGTTCTCTCACATTGTCCAGATTAATAATGACTACATACATATATAACTCAGCAACAGGGTCTTTATTGGAAAGGGTTTGTTTTTTTCATGCATTTTCAGTGAACCATAGCAATTATTGCACATGCAACTGTGGAGTAATCCTTAACAGTTTACAGTCGGTAGGCAATTATGGACACAGTTACTTAGGACAGTAAAGAGACCTTTCTACTGACTCTCAAAACCCAAGAAATAAGATGCCCATGGTCCCTGATCACCTGTGTGAACATGCCATAGTCCTTGCAGTTTCAAAGTGTCAAAATGCAACCACGTTTCCCCCCAGATGTGATGTCCAGTGCCTTAGTGGAAGAGTGGGGTAACATCTCACAGCAAGATAAGATGCACTGCAGTGTTTAAAACAGCTGGTGACCACACAAGACACTCACTGCCACTTTTGTTTGGGTACTCATTTTTCCATTTCTGTTCGTTAAATGCCTGCAAAACATGTTGAGTTTGTGTTTTATGTTAATACAAATATTTGCACACTAAGAAATTTGCTGGAAATAAAAGCATTTGAATGCAATATAGTTAATAGGTATACTAATATTACTGCTAATTTTAACCCAGGCCACACATATACAGATAACATTGCTAAAAACATTAATTTGCAATCTTATTTGTAATCTACAATTTCCTACAATATACATATTAGCCAAAATGAGACTACACGAAATCATGAATATTGTCTAAAAGCTTCTTATCAGCATATTTTGTGTTTTGCTCTGAGCTTGTCTTCGTAGCAAGAAAAACACAATATTTAACTAGAATACAGATTAGAAACACAACTTAGAAAACAGTGCAATACAAAATCTAAATCTATATGATACAACAGTTTTACCTGTTCCCAATCTTTTCTAATTTTATACAAATTATTACAAATTACATGATCATGCATACATGCATTTCTTGTATTTGGTATGTCATGTTTGGTCATGTTTGGTGGAACACAAAATGAAACGTTTTGAAGAATGTTACTGCAGCTCTTTTCCATACTGTAAAAGTGGATGGTGACCAGAGGCTGACAAACTGTCAGAAGTAAATAAAAAATGTGATAAAAGCAAGTACATATGATTTTAATGCAACATTTTTTCCCATGAAGCTATATGATTGCGAAAGAACAGGCCATCATTTAAAGGGATTCTGTCATTAATTACTCACCTTCATGTTGTTCCACACTTGTAAGACCTTTGTTCTTCTTCAGAACATAAATTAATATATTTTTGATGAAATCCGAGAGCTTTCAGACCCTGCATGGACAGCAATGCAACTGACACGTTTTATGGCCCAGAAAGGTAGTAAGGACATCTTTAAAATAGTTCATGTGACATCAGTGGTTCAAATGTAATATTATAAAGCTACGAGAATACTTTTTTGTGTGCAAAGAAAACAAAAATAACAACTTTATTTAACAATTTATTCTCTTCTGTGTCAGTCTTCAACGCACATTCACAAGAGTACCATGAAGGATTTGGAACAACATGAGGGTGAATAATTAATGGCAGAATTTTCACAAGTTGATAATCACTTAAAATCTTGCTTGATGGCTGTGGTTACCATTTACAAACCCAATTCCAAAAAAGTTGGGACACTGTACAAATTGTGAGTACTTCCACATCATTGCATTCTGTTTTTATTCACAATTTGTACAGTGTCCCAACTTTTTTGGAATCGGGTTTGTACTTTCACTGCATGAAAAGTTTGGATCTTCTACTATAAATAATATGTATTGCATTCCACAGAATCAAGAAAAAGAAAAATACATATGGTAAAGAAAAAATGTTTGATTTTTGTGAACTCTCTGCAGCACACAAGTTGCATGAACTTCATAAGTTTGTGTAAAACCTAATGATCATGTTGTCCAGGATGATTTTGATGATCCAAAGAGCAGCTTATGTTTCAATGGAAGCAAGAACATCTGACCGTCTATACAAAGAATCTCTCATGATCAACGTTGTAAATTCGCTTACTTGAATAGTGACCAAGAAAAAGTGCAGAATCTCAAATATTTCTTCCTCAATTCCTGTCACTGTCAAAATACAAAATCTATAATTATTTTAATATGGCTTATTTAATAGATAGTTTTGTAATGTACAAAACTTCCACAGTATCTGTATACTCCATGTGCATTGACCCAGTTTTTAATAAGCAGCTGTAGTTAGCAAGGGATCATGTGAGAGGGGAAAAAAATAGAAATTGTTGAACGGATGGAGCACAGAGTGGACAGACGGAACAGTTCCCGTTTTAAGCTAAAAAAGAGTGAGCTCTGTGCTGTAACAGTATGAAACAGATGCTCTTAGTGGTATTAAAACTCCATTTATGCGTCACTAGCAGCTACTCTGAGCACTTTAGGACAAAGGGAATGAGGAACCCTGCTATGGACAGCGGCCAAATCAAGAAGCAGTTTACACCGGAATGTGCGTGTTCACTGACACATACATGCTTAGCAAGAACCCACATTTACATATTCTTCCCATTGCTATTAAATATGCTTATTTTTAAATTAAGCTTGTTGAATCGGTCTTAGCGATCAGATTATCAATTGAATACATCTCTAGCATTTCTGTGAATGTGACATAAGTTTCAGATCAGAACAAAATGTACCATGCAGATCATAGGGATTAGATTTTTTCTTTATTCTCCCTTTTTAATCTTACATAACATTACTGTTGTGTGGGCTGTGCGTGCTAAGTATATCATGAAATCTTCACCTATAAACAAAAGCACTGCTGTGGAATGTGAGTCTTACACCTACTTATTTAAGCTGCTGCTCGTCAGAACATCTGGTCTATGATTGAGGTCTGACGTCAGAAGATGCATCCAGAAGGTTGTGTGTTGTTGATGATACTGAACTGCAAATAAAAAATAAAAAAAAGATTTTGTATTAGATTTTTAACATTTGACTAACCAGCATACATACAATTTTCAAAAAATTATTCAAAAAGTGTTTTTAGCAAAAAAATTCAAGTGATATATGGAAGTTGTGATGAACTTAGATGCAAAAAAACATCAAAATAAGCAACAAAGGTACAATTCAATACAAATGATACATGCAACACAATTAAAAGATAATGGCACTTTTCCCACAAATGACTAATCTTGTAAGAATGTTATTTATTATTATTATATATGTATTATTATTATTACTACTACTACTACTACTACTACTACTAATAAAAACAAACTCTTAGAGTCATCAACAAAGGGTAAGCAACATTTAGAGAAGGTTATTGACTTTATTTCAAATGACCCATATAGATGTGACAATATAAATAAATGGGTAACACTTTAGAATAATGGTCCATTATTATGGAAACTAATTTATGAATTTGATATCCCCCAAATAAGTCGGCTACATTTTAAAATTGTGACTACTACTCTTACCAAAGGATGGATGTTCAAACTTAAACATAGAATAATATTAAAAATGAAAATTCACTTAAAAAGGTTAATAATTAAGAAGTGATGCTGACAAGCTCATGATTGAATTAGTTCACAAATCTCTGCTTCGTGTCAGGTCAGTATCAATGTATCCCACGCTACAAGACCTACTGGTAAAATATCACTAGTGCGTCACACAAATGTATGACTGTACAGTATGTCAGATATAAAATATGTTAAATAACTTATTAATTTACTTGTGAGTAATTACTGAGGGGTTAACGTGTTTTTCACTTTAAAATAATGGTCCAGATCACTAGTAGTTCCTTAGTAGCACTTTAGCTTTAAAGTGAAAAATACATTAGCCTCTCACTAATTACTCAAGCGTTACCTTGTCAGCCTGCAGGAACTACTAGTGATCTGGACCATTAGTTTAAAGTGAAAAACACCTTAACCACTCAGTAATTACTAAGTAATTTAATAAGTTATTTAACATATTTCATATCTGACACATACATTTGTGTGAGGCACTAGTGATATTTTACCAGACACAATATACTGTAAATGCAGTCGATGCCTTCATTAAGGATGTGAACTGTTTTTGTCAAGAGAACATCATTATTTATATTCAAGAAAAGTCCTCCCCAGCCTACTATCACTATAGTTATAGGTCTTTTGGAGTCAGAGACATACTGAACTGACACAAACTAGAGCTCATAATTGTGAACTAATTCAATC